TCAACAGGTCTAACAACTTTTTTAAAGTGAAATCCTTGTGTTATTCCTCGTGTGCGGCCGAGCAATCATGTCAGTAGTTGTCTCCTCGTAGAGTGGCCTCAAGTTGTGCATTTACTAGGCTAGGGATAACCTGCAGGTGCTCAAAGTCGACACTGTAATGATAATCCCGCTAGGAACTTAGCATTCAACGAGGCGCGCTAACCATTTAATGATATACACCAAGCATTTAGTGAGGCATCTCTTGGTGTGCAGTCCGATTAGTTCACGTAAGGAGACATCGTAGCTAATCAGCTCATATCATCTGTCTGCCTAATCGCTTCAAATGGTGTCAATAGTCCGAGGTATGCCATCCATCGGACATTATAAGAGCCGACAACTCTAAGATTGTCTTTCGGTCCGTTAAGACTCAATCTAACAATGTTCGATTTTTTTTGAATACTTTCTCAATGATAGATTCACCAACTTATGCCCTAAAGTATTCAAGAAGGTTGAATCCAAACCCTATGGGGGTGGGGATGTTGCTCAGGTGGGGTTGAAGTCTCAAGTATTCTGTGTTGAGGTCACTCCATTATGACACCAATTAAACTCCAATTTATGATTCAACCCTACAAAACAGCCACAGTGAATATCCCAATTATGGAAGCAAGCTGGTTTTTGTGACTAAAAACCATCCACAATAGAACTCATTCAGTAATCTCTACAGAACATAACATCTTGAAATGATTCCCATTCAAGAAACTCACCAGCTGCAGTAAAAATTAGCTTGGGTTGGTGGCAATAGAAATTGAGTGTTATATAAACTTAATTGGAAGATTTAATCAGTGACTTAATTTAATGTCATCAAATTTCTAAATTAAAAAAAAAGAAGCACGAGGCTCTCATCATTGTAACGTCTGGAAGAATTAAATATATGTAGTTTTATCCCTGCAAATAGAGAAATTGTTTTCATAATTCGAACTCATGACTTCCAAGTCACAATAAAATAATTTTATCATTAGGTAGGAAGGATGAAAAATATGAGGGATACATTTTCTATACTTTAAGGATGGAAAGTAGGAATGATACATTTTCCTTCCTTTGTGTTTGGTTGAATGGATACAAAATAAAAAATGACTAATTTTTTTTTAATTTCTTTTCTTGTTTGCGTGTCAGATCATTTTCAAGTGCGTGTCGAGTTATAATCAAGTTCGTGTCATAAAATTTTTGTCAAATTCGAGTCTTATCATCGTGTTGAGTCGAAAATTTTCACCCCTAATTAAGATGAAAAAAATATTTTTTTTAATTTAAAATTTAAAATTTATATATTTATATTTTTAATTTTTTTTAATATATATATATNAGTAATCTCTACAGAACATAACATCTTGAAATGATTCCCATTCAAGAAACTCACCAGCTGCAGTAAAAATTAGCTTGGGTTGGTGGCAATAGAAATTGAGTGTTATATAAACTTAATTGGAAGATTTAATCAGTGACTTAATTTAATGTCATCAAATTTCTAAATTAAAAAAAAAGAAGCACGAGGCTCTCATCATTGTAACGTCTGGAAGAATTAAATATATGTAGTTTTATCCCTGCAAATAGAGAAATTGTTTTCATAATTCGAACTCATGACTTCCAAGTCACAATAAAATAATTTTATCATTAGGTAGGAAGGATGAAAAATATGAGGGATACATTTTCTATACTTTAAGGATGGAAAGTAGGAATGATACATTTTCCTTCCTTTGTGTTTGGTTGAATGGATACAAAATAAAAAATGACTAATTTTTTTTTAATTTCTTTTCTTGTTTGCGTGTCAGATCATTTTCAAGTGCGTGTCGAGTTATAATCAAGTTCGTGTCATAAAATTTTTGTCAAATTCGAGTCTTATCATCGTGTTGAGTCGAAAATTTTCACCCCTAATTAAGATGAAAAAAATATTTTTTTTAATTTAAAATTTAAAATTTATATATTTATATTTTTAATTTTTTTTAATATATATATATATATATTATCATTGTATTTTTATATAAAATTAATGTATACATAATATATGTATATATCAAAAGATATATAGCCAAATAAAATATATCTCAACACAAATAATTAACTTTTTATCCATTTTTCTTCCGATTTTAAAGGGATTGATTTTAATAAATTAGAAAGAAAGTTAATCTATCCATTTTTTTATCCTTTCTATTTTCCTTTCTTACCAAACATGATGTTTTATTTATTCTTCCAACTTTATATCCTTTTAACTTTTTATCTTTCTATTTTTCCATTATACCAAACGGAGCATAAAACTCACTTTCATTTTTCTAAATTAGATTCTTAAATTAAGTCTAAATAGTATTTTCCATTATAAATATGACAAACCCATCAATTTATTTGGGTTGTGAAGAGATTTTGAGTGTTTTTCAGGAAAAAGCAAAAAAAAAAGATGCAAATCTTGTGGGACAATGCTGACTAACCTATCACAGTAATAGTTTGTAGAAACTAATCAACCACTCCCTAAATGGTTTCCTGTATACCTAACATATATTGTGGTTTCCTATATACCTACCAATTATCTCCTATATATTATGGTAATATGGCAGATTTAGAGCTGTGTGTTCTTTCCCATGGTTTAAACATGTATCACCTTTTTTGAACCGTACTAAAATTCTAAAATCGTGATTGTTCAGATAATTGTAACGAAGCATAAGACTACTTCCAAGTACTTTTCACTATCTCTAAGTAGGAGGACTTAATTAATTTCGAACTAGTAACAAAATGGATTGAAATGTAGAAAGAAAACTGGAATTGCAAGTAAAAGAAGTTTGACAAAAATAAATGTGCAAACCACTATACTTAACATTAAACGAAAAGGAAAATGACTAGAGTGATCGATTAATTGTTGTGTTAATCGAGAGATTTTTTTTTGCTACAGCCTTTCTTTCGATATTCATAAAGGATGGTCTCAATTGTTGAAGTCATCTTTTTCGGCAATGACTGTAATTATAGGAGTATAACTTGGGTGGGCTAACCTGATTTTAACCCGAGCTCAATGTGAAAAAAATTAAAATTTGGGTTAAGGTTTTTAATATTTGAATTGGGCTTGGGTCAAAAAACTCTAACCCAAATTTAATTTGGACGGGTCTCGGGTTGACCCCCCAAGTTACAGGGTTGAACCCGAATATTAAAATCGAGTTCAACCCGAATATTTATAACTATATAAATACATTTTTAAGTCTATAATTAATCTGTTTTGAAATCTTTATTGTGCGCTCTATCACTCACTATTTAAGCAATGAACTCAATATTTATACAAGGATTTTGGTTGTGTTTATTTATGTTTTGTATGATTGTGGTTACATTATCTTAAACATTGAGTTCTTAATATTATGGTTTTAATGTTAAGAACTTGATTGAAGTTGTTGGTTGTTAATTTAGATGAATATTATGTAATATGTGTGTCAGGTTTAGAACAACGAGTCTATTTTGGATTTAACTTGAATTAAACTTGTAACGTAGTCTAAAATCATTAACTCGAATTCAACCCGAACTCACCCGAATTAAATTCGGGCAGTGCTCGGGTTGAGTCCGTCAACTCGAGGTAGGGTTAGAGTTTGGATTAGGGTTAGAATTAGAGTTGAAGGTTATATATTTAAGGTTGAATTAAGGTTGACTGTCCAACCCGTCTGAATTTTATCCCGTGCAATCATGACATTTTTCTTATGTACTCTCCAAGTAGCACTAAACCATCTCTAATTCTAATTTACATCTCATGTAGTCACATTTTCTCGTTTTTCGGGATCACAAGAGTCCTGCCCCTTTGCATTCTATTATTCTTGGATTCTCACTAACATTTTTCATGGCCATTAAATTCTTGCCACGTGTTATTTTCAAATTTTAATATTTTTGGTGTACTTACATTAACATATATTAATAATGCAAATCATCTCTATAATTTACCATCATAGTAAAAAATTTATAGAGTTGGAATTATTTTGTTTGGTTAAGTTTCGAAAAGGACATACAATCAAACCTAATCAAAGTAAACCTCCGCTATTAAACAGGTTGATTAGAGGGCATGATATGACTCACCGTCCAGGTATAAGGTCTAAGATTCAAGTCCATTTGGTTTCCATGATGGAAGGGATGAGAAAATGTGAAATTCACAGCTACGATTGAAATAAGGCCAACCATCTAAAGATTAAAAATTAAAAAGAAAAAGAAAAATTAAAAACCTCCAAACAGTCAAAAAAATAAAAAACTAACAGTAACGGGTTTGAATTTGGTTTTAAAAGGTTTGGAGTCATAACCAGATTGGCTAAATCAATATGAACTCAATTAAATACAATTTATACAACACAAACACTCAACAAGGCACAAATATTGTACTCTGATTACGAATGGATTATGTATAAATTTAACAAATTTTAATACCAAATAATTTATATACATATTATAACCATATAATCTATTAAAAAAGTTCAATTGGCACAGTGATGATACTTTGAGCCATGTTTAGTTTCCTCCAAAAGTTTAATTTTAAGGCTTAGAACGAGAGAGAGGGAATACATTACATACTCCATGAATGGCTGGCATGGGAAACTGGTAATTTGGAGAGAGGGGAGTGGACATTTTTGTGCTTTGACGTCCAAGGCCCGGCATTAACCCTTTCGTCTCCGCTTTTTACGGTTACAGTGAAGAGAAATTCAGTATAAACAAAGTCAAACAAACCTTTTCTTTTTCGGCTATATAACTTCATCACTACCCAACCCATAACCTTCCCCCCTCATCTCTCTCCCTTTCTCTCTGTCTCTCTGCTTTTCAGTTGTTTTTTCTTGCACCAGCACAGAGTCCCTTCTTTCTTCTAAAGCACTTCCCATCTCCTATCCTAATTCAACCACCCCTGTTGTTTCCACCAAAAAAACCTCAAATTCTCTTTCAGTCAAGTGCATTCTTGCGAATTTTCATCTGGGTTTCCAGCATTCTCTCATTTCTTATCCTCAAATTTCGTTATTTCTTTCTTCATGGATAAAAACCTTTTTCTCAATGCTGGAAATCCACCATTGCAACACTTTGAGCCCTCAATGCCCACATGGCAATCCCTATCTTCAGCTGTGGAGCTAAATTGCTCTTCTGATCAATCTTCGGACTGTTTTCTTAATCCCCCCTATTGGGACAAGTCTAGTGATCAATACACCCATTTCGAGTCAGCCCTGAGCTCAATGGTCACATCCCCTGCTGTTTCCAATTCAGCCATGTCCAATGAAAGCTTTGTAATCCGTGAATTGATCGGAAAATTGGGCACCATTTGTAACTCCCGTGAGATCTCACCTCCTTTAATGGCTGCCACAACGACGGGGACTCCTTACATAGGTGGTGGAAATAACAGTACTAACACTTCGTGTTATAGTACTCCTGTGAATTCTCCACCTAAGTTACGTATGGCAATTATGGATCAATTAGTGAAAGAAAATTTGCCCAATTTGAGAAATTCAATGCCTTTGAATCCTGCTTTGCCAGTGGTCTCGGCTGATCCCGGGTTTGCCGAGAGGGCTGCAAAGTTTTCTTGCTTCGGAAGTCGTAGTTTCAATGGTCCAAAAAGTCAATTTGGGCTAAACAATACTGAATTACAATATAGATCTAGTGCTCCATCGTTGGGAAGTGGAATGTTACCCAGAGTTTTTAGTAGTCCTTCCCTTAAGGCCGCCGAATCTCCAATGGAAAACAAGCACTCTGCCCAAACCCAGATGGGAATGAGGTCTGACAATGGCTTTGGTTCGGTTTCTGATAAGAAATTGAGTAAATTATCAGGGTCAGCTGCAAATTCAAATGAGGAATCCTCTGTTTCTGAACAAATCCCTAGTGGGGAAACCGGCTCAAAAACTCCAAATGAAATGAATTCAAGGAAAAGAAAAGCGGTTTCTAGGGGAAAATCGAAGGAAGATGTACCAATTCAGTCTGCCACGAAGGTACAAATTCAAATCAAGACTATCCCAATTTTCTTTTCATTAATTTGATATGAAACTTAACGAGTTCAGAAAAATTTCTTTTCAGATAGCAGAAGCTGATGATGATACAAATGCAAAGAGACCTAAGCCGACAGAAGAAAATGGAAACGAATTTGGCGGAGTCAAAACAGAGGAGGAAACAAAGGGAAGTACTAATGACGAAGGAAATGAAAGTCAGAAACTAGCCAGGGCCAATACAAAGCCTCCGGAGCCCCTAAAAGACTACATTCATGTCAGAGCAAGAAGGGGTCAAGCTACTGACAGTCATAGTTTAGCTGAAAGAGTAAAGACTATGAGCCAATTCTTTTGATATATATTCAATAAGCCAATGCCCAAGCATCGTGGCATAACCTCCCTTTTGTCATTTGATCAGGTCCGGCGAGAAAAGATCAGCGAACGGATGAAGCTTCTCCAAGATCTTGTACCAGGTTGCAATAAGGTGAGCAGAGATACTTGGAAGTTGAAACTTTAATCGTTGATAATTTAAGGACATTAATGGGTCCATTTCTAACCTGGCTTAGTGAGTTTTTATGTTAGGTGACTGGAAAAGCACTTATGCTCGATGAAATTATAAACTATGTACAGTCGTTGCAACGCCAAGTGGAGGTAAATAAAGCTGAATTAAGCATCGTCTGTAATAGTCATTGCAAATTTAGGCCTAATTGGTCAATGGGTTTTTGTGCGTTTTGTAGTTCCTCTCTATGAAATTATCTACTGTAAATCCAAGCCTGGAATTTAACATGGATGGTCTCCTTTCAAAGGAGGTAAGTTACTGACATTACATGTAATGGCTTGATCAATTAACCAGTCTCTTAATGTTCTAAAAGAGATTTTTTTGGGTCCATTGGTGAGTTCCAGATATTCCAACCCAATGGCTCTTTGCCACATCCAGTACACCCATTAGATCCCTCTGCACCAGCTTTCTATGGACACCAGCCACAGCAAAGCCCACAACAGAAAAACATTTCCGCTGGACCAGCAAGCCAATGCTCAGCAGACAAATTAGATGCAACATTCTGCCGCAACTTTGGGATGCAATTACCTCCAGTTGAAGGATTCAGCGAAGGTGTTTCTCAGGTAATCAAATTTTTACCATTCCTTGAAAACTTGGATTTGATTGTATCAATATAAACCTGCAAAGAAATTTTAGTTATCGGCTAATCCTGCATGTCATCTTTCTTACTACACCAGTTCCCAACATTCTGTGAGGATGACCTACAGAGCATTGTTCAAATGGGTTTAGGCCAAAGCCCTAACCAAGCTACTGAATTTCGGTTACAAAGTTTCCCTGGTAAGAGGGCAAAATTAGAGTAAACTTCAAAGCACCATGATTTATTCTAATCTACTAGTTGCTTATAGTTGGTATTCTTCTAATGCAGTCCAAAATCAAACATCCTGCATGAAAATTGAGCTTTGATCACATCTCCTTTGTCCTCAATTCAAGGCCCAAAGAGATAAAGAGGCTGCTGTATATACAAAAAAGAGATTTTTTAGTTCTGATTGGCGCACAATTTCTAATTCATCTTCAGGTCTATTGCAGAGAATGTCTTTCCTCTAAGTTTTATCTTATTTTATGTTTTTGTAATTGATTTGTCTTCTAATTTTTTTTCGGGTTGAAGTATTCGATGTATAATCCTAGAAGCAATAGTGTTTTTTGGTGCAAAGTAACAGCACCACATTTAATCTAAATGTAAGATATATTTCTAAGCAAAGTAATGAGGAGTGGAGATCTTCCACCAGCTTTTATTTTCCAGCCATTAAGATGTTTGTACCTCATAATGCAGCATTATGATTTCGACTTTGACAAAATTTATCAATATTGTGATAGAGTTTAGTCAAATGTACAGTGGTAGATCTCATATAATCTGGTTGGTATGATTCTTACTCGTGTTGTAACCAGCTGTATGATGGACTCCTCTGCTCCCATAAAAGTCTAACAAGAATGATTAAGACTTGGGTTTGCTTGAGCTCAAGTCAAGCATAATTTTAGGCACAATTTAGGCTCCTGTAATTTTCACAGATTACCCAGGAACAGAACCTTCTGTTCTCTTTTCACTGTGCACATATAAAACCAATCAAGCAAATGTTGGAATCATTTTAATTTTGTATTCTGTTGTCATATAAAAGCAGTGAAAAGAATACCTGGCTGGCATTTGGTGAGATTGGGACTAGACCCATTGAATCTGAGCTCTTTAAAATCTATTCTACTTTATTTATTATTTTTTTAAATATTGTGTAACAGGAAAAGGTTAAATGTAGTGGAGCTCAGGCATGGAAAGATGCCCCAGGGGATAAATTAATTGTCGGATTAGAGTTGGTTAGTAAAAAACTTCTTTTTGGGTTTAACAAAAGATTTCTGGGTTGCAGCCTTATGTTATTATAATGAGAGCTCTATTATTGATCTCCTGATTAGTGTAATATAACTATCAGAGAGATTCTCTGAAAATGAAATTATGCACAGAAGAGTTAAAAGAACAAATTATTATATTTGTAAAGAATGCATGAGCATATAGTGCCATGTGCCTGGCAGTTGGGCTGTATTATTCTTGGGTGGGTGACATTTCTGGGTTTGGATCTCTATCCTCTTGTCTATTTATACTTAGTTTTGTCATCGTCGAATTTTGATCTAAATCTGAATTCATCATCTTTCACGAAATAATATAAGATGATGGTGATGATGATGTATTTGTTAAAACACGAGCGAGTAATGTTTTTCTAATAATTTCTATATAGATCAACAACAAAAAACCATCATGGCATGGTCTCCTTTTTTCCAATTCTCCAAATATGTTTTTGGACCCTGTATTATTAGCATTTGTCTGTCTAATGTGCTGGAGCTGCAACTATGGAACCTTTTTAATTTTATCTAATAGTGTGTTAAAACAATGTAAGTCTTGATTCAGAGCTCCAAAACAGGTTCATGGTAGGATGATTCTTGAAACTCTGGTTCACTTGGCTTTTAGTAGTTTCTCTATCTTCTTGATAAACTGATAACCAATCATCACGCATGCTATGCAACCATGAGGCGGTTTGTCGTTAAGTCTTGCTTCAAGGATCTTAGATGGTGGTTTGTTTATTCAAAATCATTCTCCATACTATCATATTTCCTGATAATCTGATTCAAAGAAATTATCAAAATTTAAATTTAAGACGTTTGAGTTTACAATTCGTCTATGTTATCACTTGAACTACCCTTAAGATTGATGGTGGTTTGTTTGAGTATTGGAAAAGAAATAGTTCAAAAAAAAAAGGGCCTATATGTAAGGTTCTCCTTTATATGCGAAGTGGTGAGTGAAAACATATATAGTGAATGAGACTGAAAGGTATTGGAAAATCTTTTGTTGCACGTTGGGATCTTAAAGAGTTTGACAATTCTTTTCCCCATTTATTTTATAACATTATTGCTAGCTTATCACTTTTTTAAAACACTAGTAAATTGCATGTTCTAAGTGGGACGAGTGGGTGGGAGTGAGTGAATATTGTTGGTCAAAAGTGTATTTACAGGGAGATAAATGCATCCATGGAGCTTTTGAAAAAATAGGGAATTCTTTAATGGCTGCAAGGGGGCCATGTCCAGTATTTGTGTCATGTGTCGAGCAATAATTAACCTGAATCAAACCCATTTAATTAATCATATTACATTATATCCAAATAAAACTCATGCTTATACTTTTTTATAATCTAAAAATTACTTGAATAAATATAATAATAAAAATAAGTAAAAAAATCTTCTTTTGTATAAAAATTATGTTAATGCATGAGAAAAAATAATTAAAAAATTGGTATTTTATTTGTATAAAATTAGCTAAATATGTTAATCGTTCTAATTTTGTATTATTCGTTTTAAAAGATCATGATTTTTATTTTTATTTTTATTTTATGTAGAAGCCAAAAAAAGCTTCGGTTCTCCGCAAACCAGCCTCATATTTACAAGTGAAAGTGACCGAATATGAAGTGCCAAGAATATAGTAGGTTTGTAGGGACTGGCTTTGGTTTGTTTCGTAGGGCATAATAATGATAATTAAAGTGGGTCTCCCTCCCATTATCAACTTGTCACTGGTCCAATGCCATTTTCTTGGGTGGTCTTTTTCTTTCACCTATAAGGCATTTTGGGGTGGGGATGTTTTCCTTTGTTGAGGGAGAAAACACAGACATTAAATAGCCCATCATTTCTTTCACCTACCATGTATCTATCATGCTCTACAACTCTTATGTGTTTTTCTGCATTTCTAAGGTTCTCACCATTACATTTTTCTTCTTCTTTTTTTTTTTGTTCAAAAATTTTCAATTCTAATCAATTATAGGGAAACCAATCTGTCTCTGTCAGCATCTTCATCATGTGTTCCTTTTTTCTGCTAAGTAGTTGGTAATTATTAGCCATCTTTCATGGAAAGTCCAACCAACTGTGGGGCAAATTGAACCTGAAAGGTGGAAGTTCAATAGGGGTTTTCTCGACTTCCCCTAGCAAAAGTATCTTTAAAATATATATACAGTGCACGGTAATTTCTGTATAATAGATGAATGGATCAATCGCTTCCTTGTTGAAGTTAAGATTACCTGAAAAATCGAAAATCCCGTGACAAACGGATGTGGGAGATGATATAAGAAGTGGTGATAAATTTCTTTTTTCAACGATCCAAACGATTCCGGCATATTGAAATGAACTCGGTCACTCATAAAGAAAGGTTAGAAGGGTGTCAGAATGTGTTTTCAGCGTGACCCATGATCAAATCAGTGTGTGAGAGACGGGTGAGAATTCACTGTTCTATTGCTGGGATAAAAGTGTGTGTACATTTTTTTCGAATTTGTGAGAGTTATTTATATCTCTATGGAGGTAATCATTGCAAACAGGTGGGTCTCTTGGAGAGGAAGCTTTCATTGGCCCATTTGGAAGTCGACCTGTAAAGCACAGTCCTCGAAAAGAAGTTTTTACATTTAATGCTCGAATCCTGAGATCTGCCGAGTAATAAATGTATCACATCCTTCTAAAAATTCATTTAATATTTTCTTGTGGCAACTACGTATGTGTAGGGACACTGTTGTCCATTGCCTCCCAATTTTGTACTCTGCACCTCGTACATCACTATTATTGGTTGTTGATATATCCCTTCTGCAATTCAAGTTGCCTCGGGAAGGAATGTCAGTGACAAGCATCCAACTCCGTTTCCAAGTTACAATAATCATTGAAATTGCTATTCATACTTTGCCATCATGGAAGGCTAGGCGCCAAGGTGACATGTCTCGTGAAGGTTCTTCGAGATAAGACATATGTCGAGAACACGTGTCACCACGACAATGCTCTAGGGTTTCCATCGCCAAGTACACTCGTCAATTACAGAGAACTTTGAAGGAATACATGCTAAGAACATGTATCAATGTACGTTATGTTCGGAGGGTATCTTTATGCCGAGGTCACGTATCACTCACAGAGAAAGTCAAGGGTTACTCATGTCGAGGACACGCGTCGCTCGATAGACTGCCCACATCCCTCATGCCGATGATATGTGTCGATTTCTCGTTAATTTTAAAAAATGTCCCATAAAATACTAAAATTATATTCTTTCTAATAGTTTAAATTTTTATAATAGATGATTGTTTAATATAGTATTAGAACAGGAGATCTTGTATATGAATATCACCGACATCCTAATTATTAAAAGATGTTCACGTATTAAGTGCACAACCTAGCCTACACGTAAAAGGGTGTGTTGAAGTATAACATAATCTAGCGTGCACGTGAGAGGACATGTTGCAATATAACATAATTTAGCCTACACGTGAGAGGCATGTAAATATTAAAGTTACACTATTTTTAATAATTTAAACTTTTGAAATAAATGATTGTTGAATAATAGAAAACATCACTCGAGTTTCTCATTGGCATGGCAATTGCGGTCACGATTTCGTAATCAATACATAAGCAAATTATTGAATGGCAATTTTGTTATGCATCCATAAGGGACTTAGCTGCATTTTCTCATTCCAAAATATCCTTCTATTAAGAACTAGATAAGGCAGGGATACCAATTCTACAAGTTCCAGTTATGGACATCCATTTTGCAGGAAAAAAAATAAATAAAACTTCAAAAAGCAACAGGATATGGCTACCATTTATTACCTTGGGTAAAGAAGAGTCGCATCATCTCTCATGAAATCATTCCGGGATTGGGCTTTTGAGTCTAGCGCTACTGAACTCTAATAGATAAGAGCATAAGAGAAGGCAATGAAGCTTTGCAATACAGTGTTTTTGTTAAATATAGCCCCATTTATATATTTTGCTTTAGGCCCCAGTTCCATTAAGCTGTCCCTAGTGATATGGGCATATCTCATTTTCATGCCGGAAACATTTGTACACTAGGTGCTCTAATTTATGAAGGAAAAATAAAGTTCACATTTTTATCGATTCATGATTTTTAATATTTGAAAGAATAAATTAAAATTAAAACATCATTGGGGTGCAAAATAAGATTAGCCCCTTGACTAAGGGGAATTCTACAGTACCGACTTCGGTTATTATTTTTTTGGTAAAATTATAACTCATAAGGGAGAAGTTACAACTGTTCAGTGAGGACCATAATCGATCACAGATACATAAGGGTGCAATTTGGGCGAGTTGAGAGGTCAACTCTAGCCCGACTTTAGGTATATAATCTTTAACCCTAACCCTATTTCAACCCAAGATACTCAATCCGAATATTATCCGAGTTTAATTTGGGCGGGCTCGGGTCACATCATTTTTCGTCACACCATTTTTTGTTTATTATATCTTTAAAAATATCTCATCTATTATCAAAAATATCACGACATTTGTTCTAGTTTATATTTAAACATCAATCACACCCTATGCTATTAAACTACGATTTATAACAAAAACAAATTATCTCAAATACTAAAATAACTCCTTCATAAATCACAAACAATCTTTTTTTATAAAATTTGAGTTGATTAAATTTTTTTTTACATATTAAAATTTGAATCGATTAAAATTCGATTCGAGCTGATTAAATTTATATTTTTAAGTATTAAAATTTGAGTCTATTAAAAGTCTTTTTTAACGTAACAAAAATTTAACCCAATTTGAGTTATACCTGAAGTGTTAATCCCGATTAAAATTCACTTCAAATAGATTAAAATTTATATTTTTTTAATTTATTAAAATTTGATTTAAGTTTATTAAAATTTGAGTCAATTAAAATTTATAATTTTTTATGTATCGAAAATTGGGCCAATTTAATTTGAACCTTGAATAGAATTTTAATTTGCTCACATTTTAATGCGCAAAAAAATAAAATTTTTAATCAACTCAAATTTTAGTATGAAAAAAATAAATTTTAATTAATTCAAATCAAAATTTAATCGGCCTGAATTTTAATACGTAAAAAAATTTAAAAAATAGAGGGGATCTCAAATATGTCTATCTAAAAGGGGTGTAGATGAAGTTTTTCCTAAAATATATTATGGACAATTTAATAAAATTACATTCTAATTAATACCTTTAATCTGACAGGATGTGTTAGTAAAAATTTAGGAAATAGGGGGAGTGTTCTTGATGATATAGTAAACTAGATGAATTGTGACTAAAATTTTTCTTTTTTTTTTTTTTTTTTTTGTAATATTTGCATTTGGCCGGGTAAACTTATGAATTGACAAGGTCGATAAATGAGAAATTCACTTATATGTAATAGATCTCATTTAAATGCATGGTACATAAAAACATAGAATCAGAGCAATTATCGCAGGCATTGGTGTCCACATAACAGACAATTATGGAATTTAAATTCAATGTAATAAAAGTGAAATTTCTTTTGATACAATTTTTTTTGTCGAATCACCTATTATGTATTTGCATTGAGCTTATTGTATATATAAATAAGTCTTTTACTCATTAATGTTGAAAATTTATTAAAAAAAAATAAAATGCATTTAAATTTGTCCAAATTAACCAAAAGATATCCCCATGACCTCTTTGCTCATGATAGAGGTTAATGGATAGAATATTAATAAAATAAAAAAAATAATTCCGTGCATTGCACAAGGTGGACTACTAGTTATGTACTATAATAATCAAGGTATGAGGTTTGTGTCCTCTCAACCATAATTTTTTTTAGATTTTGTTGTCACCTACTTGATTGGTTTCACATTACCCAAAATACAAATATCTGTTATTGATTTAACAAAAAAATGTGGATACAAAATAAATTTACCTCTCTTCAAAATTTTAGTGGTGGATGCTAATCATTAGGGCAAAATAAAACTAAGACTATCTCCAATGTAAACACAAAATTTTACCCAAATTTGAGTAATAAAATAAGTAAAAAGTTTGATTTGATACAAAATACTCCAATAGAGAAATTCAAAGGTAAAGGAGGTTAAACCAAAATTTAAATGATGACAAATCTAAATTTAAAAAAAATAAAATAAANAGGTAAAGGAGGTTAAACCAAAATTTAAATGATGACAAATCTAAATTTAAAAAAAAAAAAAATAGANTCCAATGTAAACACAAAATTTTACCCAAATTTGAGTAATAAAATAAGTAAAAAGTTTGATTTGATACAAAATACTCCAATAGAGAAATTCAAAGGTAAAGGAGGTTAAACCAAAATTTAAATGATGACAAATCTAAATTTAAAAAAAATAAAATAAAATACGACTATTAGATTTTTAAAGGAGAATAAAATTTAACTATTGATAATTTGAGTAAAGTTTGAGTCTCTCTTAATTTGGGTAAAATTTTGAGTTCTCCTTAATTTGATATAGGTTTGGGCATAGCGTTTGAGACAATTTTTAGGAATTTTTTACTCAAATTTAAATTTGAGTTTATAAAAAAGTAAAAGTTGGAGATGTCCTAATAATCATAGTTGAAAGTATAATGTGCAAAACATGATAGGTGAGACAACAAAGTGTAATTAACTCCAAAAACAATTTTAAAAAGAGGTGGCTAAAGAAATATTCTCTCTATAAATCATATTTTCTCCTAATCTTTTATATCCTGTTTAAATGTAGTTCTTGTATGAGCTTTAAATCCTAAATGCTAATTTTTAGAATCTTTAATTTTTTATATATATTTTAATTTACCAATGACAGTCTTTCACTCTTTTTAATTTTCTCATAAACCTACTCTAACTAAACTCTCAATTCTGTTCAAAATCCTCACTATCTTTACCTATAACTTTCATTATGAAATATTATATTTTTATAATGTTGAATTATTTAATAATAATTATGCGTCTATTCCCATCAAACTATTTCAAATTTAAATTTTTCATCTTTCTTTATTTTGTATAATAATAAACAATTTACAATAATATTTATGTCGGGATCAAGATGGGAATGAGGGTTTGGAATATGGGGTGGTGGTGATAAATTATTTATCATGTATTTAAGTAAAAAGTGAGTTTAATATATTATAAATTTATTATACTTCTTAATAAATTATTTATCGTGAATTTAAATAAGATTGGTTATATGTAAATAGGTTTCTTACTAATACATGAAAAAATTGGAGAAAAATATTAAAGTGGATATATATCATGTACGTAAAATTCTTAAACTTGATCACCTTCTCATAACGGTCTGTCCGTCCCCTTCGCTACTCCCTCCACAATTCAAGCGATCAACACCAACATCTCTCTCTCTCTTGCCGATGAGGGAGAAAGAGACCCAAAACCACCACGAACAAAACCAAGATTCAAAATGGAAGAAACAGAGAATGAATTTTCAAGAAAATTCATCTACCTCCTCATAACAATCACCACTATAATCTCCACTCTCCTCCCCCATGTCTCCGCCGTCGACGACGACGACGCGGCCATCATGGCCAAGCTTGCTAAATCCCTTTCCCCAACTCCGACAGGCTGGTCCGGCTCCGATCCATGCAAATGGACCAGCGTTTCCTGCGACTCCTCCGGCAGAATCTCCTCCATTAGCCTCGGCGGTAAATCACTCTCCGGCGAATTACCATCGGAATTCAACCAACTCTCCAATCTCCGGTCCCTCAGTCTGCAAAGAAACCAGCTCTCGGGGGCATTACCGTCCCTATCAAACCTCACGTCCCTCGAACGAGTCTTTCTTGACAACAACAACTTTTCTTCCATTCCTAATCCTTTCCTCTTAGGCTTGACGAGTTTACAAATACTAAGCATCGGTGAAAACCCTAATCTTCCTCCATGGACCATCCCCAATTCCCTCTTTGAGTCCACAGCGCTTGTTGCCTTACTCGCCAAGCAATGTAACATCGTGGGTACAATTCCAGACATATTTGGGAAATTCCGTAATTTGCAGAATCTTAGCCTTTCGTATAACAATCTTACAGGTTCTTTACCGGCATCGTTTGGCAAGTCCCAGATTGGGAGTTTATGGCTTAACAATCAGTTGATGGGTCTTTCAGGTAGGCTTGATGTTCTTGGCACAATGTCACAGTTGCAACAGGTTTGGCTTCAATCAAATCAGTTTTCTGGGCCAATTCCTGATCTTTCAAATTGTACTTCCATAAATGATCTTCAGCTTCGCGATAATCAGTTAACGGGTGTGGTTCCTGATTCTATGATTTCGCTTCCTATGCTTCATAATCTGTCTTTACAGAATAATAAATTTCAGGGTCCAATGCCTAGTTTTCCTAAAAATGTTCAGGTGACACTTGGAGAAACAAACAGTTTTTGTAATACAAGTCCAGGCCCTTGTGACCCTCAGGTGACAACATTACTTGAGGTTGCTGGGGCATTGGGATATCCTATGACATTGGCTGAGTCCTGGGAAGGGAATAATGCTTGTAAACAATGGAATTTTATTTCATGTGATTTGAAGGGAAGTGTGAGTGCTATTAATTTTGGGAAGCAGAATTGGGTTGGTACAATATCGCCCGCCATTGCTAACTTGACTGCATTGAAGAATTTGCTTTTGAATGATAACAAACTCACCGGTTCCATACCGGATAGTCTGACTAGTTTAGCACAACTACAGCTTCTTGATGTCTCCAACAACAATCTTTCAGGAAAAATACCACCTTTTGCTTCATATGTGATGCTTAAAACATCTGGCAATCCATTACTTGGCACAGATTTGCCCTCTGTTCCGAATAATACTTCTCCTGGTGGAACTTCATCCACTGGGACAAATAGTCCATCGGGTGGAGCAACTACAACTGAGTCTTCTATCTCTCCATGGGGGATTGTTGGTACCATAGTTATAGCTGTGATCTTAATTGTTGCTCTGTTTTTGGTAATATATAAATGCTACATGAAGAAGCGCAGTGGGAGATTTAAGTGGGTTAGTGGCAGTCAAAGTTGGAAAGACAAGGAGAAGAAAGATGCCGGGGCTAAAGTGACTAGCTATGACGCCCTTGCAAGTGAATCATCAGGTCAAAGTAGAGATCCAAACAGTGATATTCACGTCTATGATGGTGGGAATGTTGCTATTCCAATAGAAGTTTTGAGAGAAGTGACAAATAACTTCAGTGAAGATAACATCTTGGGTAAGGGTGGATTCGGCGTCGTCTACAGAGGACAACTCCACGATGGGACAGAAATAGCCGTGAAGAGGATGGAATCGACTTCGATGAATAACAAAGGGCTGAATGAGTTCAAGGCTGAAATCGAGGTTCTCACAAAGGTTAGACACAGAAATTTAGTCGCGCTTCATGGTTTTTGTGTCGATGGAAATGAAAGGCTTGTGGTCTATGAGTATATGCCCCAGGGGACACTGGGGCAGCATTTGTACCATTTTGATGAAATGGGGTTTCATCCACTTACTTGGAAGGAAAGAGTCACCATAGCACTGGATGTTGCCAGAGGGGTTGAATATCTACACAGCTTAGCACAGCAGAGTTTCATCCACAGAGATTTGAAACCGAATAACATACTCCTGGGAGACAACTTGAGGGCTAAGGTCTCTGATTTTGGTTTGGTTAAGAATGCACCTGAAGGGCAATACTCAGTGGAGACTCGTTTAGCTGGGACTTTTGGATATCTTGCTCCAGAGTATGCTGGTATGTACAAAGTCGTGTGTTTTTGCTTCAGTAAGTTTCTTAGGTATATACATAATAGAGTAAATTACACTTTATCCCCCAAAATATTTTATTTGTTTCACTTTGTACTCTCAACTATAAAACTTTTTACATTATACTCTAAAGTATTAATTTTATTTCATATCAATTCAATAGATAACGGCGGCATCTTGAAAATCTGCAAGTTCCTAATGCCACTTTATTTTACCTCTTTTGCAACCAATAGTTGTTGGTAAGAAAAAAAAGTTGGTCAAAAGCTTAAGAAGGATAAAATCATGGATGAGTATTTTTCTTGATTTTTAACTTGCACATGTGCAATAGGGTACAAACCACTAACATGCACAGTTACTCATTATCTATTAGAGTAATATGAAACAAAATTGATATTCTAGGTTACAATGTGAGAAATTTTATACTTAAGGGTGCAAAGTAAAACAAAGATAATAATTCAAGGGGTAAAGTGTAATTTATCCTATAAAATATAATCTCTCCGTGCGTTTAATTGCTAGGATTATTGACTCAGCATCTTTGCTTTGTAACACAGCTACTGGAAGAGTGACCACAAAAATTGATGTCTTCTCATATGGGGTGGTATTGATGGAGATGATTACGGGTAGAGGAGCACTGGATGAGACATTTCCAGAGGATAGAATTCATTTGGTTCCATGGTTCCGAAGAATCCTTGTTAACAGAGACAACATCAGACAGTCCATAGATCCATCCCTGGACCCAGACACAGAAACCTTAGAGAGCATCTTCAAAGTATCAGAACTAGCAAGACACTGCACTGCTAGGGAGCCATCTCAGAGGCCGGATATGGGCCACGCGGTTAATGTCTTGTCCCCACTTGTGGAGCAATGGAAACCCACCAGCGATGAGGAAGAAGATGGCTTTGGTATTAACCTTCGGATGAGCCTCCCTCAAGCCCTGCAGAGATGGCAAGCCAGTGAAGGTTCCACGATGAATGATCTGAATACTTACAGTGATGCATCGACGACATGCGACACAGCAGCCTTCTGGGGTTGAAAGATCATTCAGTTCAAAGGATGCCTAATGACTAGAAATTAAGGAAAGATGTGAATGCCAGTTGAGACCAATGCACAATAACTACAAACATGGATGTAAAGGCACCATTGTGAAGACAAGATAGGAATATTCCAGTACTCCTTAATCCAATGTCTGTCGAGAACCAGTGTGATATAGCAGTTCTTCTTTACATTTTTTTTTCAATTTTTTTTTTTCAAGTTCATATAGCTCTCTATTCTCGAATATTGTCTTTGTCCTTGACAAGATGGGTTCTTTGCTTTGTAACTAGGATTTGTTGATGTAAATAAAGCAGAGTTATTGCACGGGTGATTTCCTGGCCGGATGTGTACCGGCTAATCTCCTCCAAAATCCAAGTCAATCGGCCTAAGAGTCATAAACACAGGGTATGTTTTGGATTCGAATTGCGTACATTGGTCTAATTTCTTGAGGGAAATTTATATTTGGATTTGCAATGATGACAATACCCTTGAGTCACATCTTAAAATTTAATGGTCTGCACTTATATCCTAGCATCATGAGTGATATCCCATCATGTAATGACTAATCTCCTCAAGCATGTAAACTTTTGCTCGGGCATCGCCGAGCATTAATGTCTCATCCCCCAATCATTAAATACTCCCTCTCAGTGCTTGATATCTATGTCCAAGTGTTTATTTCTCGAAAATAAGCATTTTCGGAATTTATCAAGTCGACGTAATGACTATTAATGACTTGTAATGATGATTGTCTTCACATTTTTTGAGAATTTAAACTCTCATTAATGGTCCTGTTATAAACACTCAAAACTCAAGAGTCATTAATGAGTTGTCAGATCCTTTTCAATGCTAAGCCTTGGGGGGCACACTCGACTTCTCCGGTTATAACTCCTTGGTGCCTTTCCTAAGCACCCTTTGCACTCCTTAACAGCTATAACTGTTCACATGTACATTTACTACTGTCATGCCACCAAAAGTCCCATCTATTAT